TTTTATTTTTTAAGATATTATTTTCAAAGTCTAGGCATAATTTAAGATTTCTTATTACATTTAGACCAATAAGTCCGTCGGTGATTATGAAATTGGAATAATATGAATGGTATTGTAGAAGATGATTTTAATTCTGTAAATGCCGGTATGTCGGCTTTAAATTTTGCTTCCTTTTGACCTACGACTGTTTTTATAAATGTCGTTTCATGATAAATAGTATCAGGAAAGTACTTTTCGGCGATACCTGGATTTAATATTGATTGCATGCTACCGGAGTCCACCAAAAGTTTTAACGGAGGATTTTCAATTTTAATAAAAGGTAATTCAGAAGTATTTATGTCTAAAAATATTTCATTTATTACGTGTTTAGCTGATTCTGGCCTAGTATCCAAAAATTTTCGTCATTAGAAGCAACGTCATTCAAGTCGTAACTTTCTTGGTTATTATTGTCAGTATATAGATTTGATTTATTTGGAGTTTGAACATTATTTTCTGTATTAACTTTAGTTTCAATTTGGTGTAATTCTTAAGAATTAAAATTTCGGGGACCGTTTGGTTTAAAATAATTGTTACGTGATTGATTGTTTCTAAAAGTATTTCTTGAAGTTGTTGACATAGGTTCAGGGTCATTTTGAGGAATTCTTCCTGTGGGTGCAAATGCGTTTTTAGGTGGTCCAAATACTTGTCTGTTCGTTGGGAATTGTCTATTAATTTGTCGTGGTTGAACTTGGATAAGTTGTCTCGGAAATTGATTAAAATTTTGGTTTTGATTTGCATTAAAAGATGGGGGAATTTGATGTTGGGGGTTTGTATGAAAATTTCGTTCAGGTACTGGTAAATTAAAGGTTGAGTATTGTGGGTTAGCTGTATAACCCATGTTTTGATAATTATTATTAGGCGTTGCATAAGTTTTGACGTTATGTTGATTTTTTGCATTATGATTATTAAATTGTTTTTGGTATGTTAGGTTTTATGTAGAATTGTTTTGAGTTTTAATATTATTTTGAGCATAATAAAAATTTTCTTCCTCAACAATATGAGCAATAGCGGTTTCTATAGTATCGGGGTTTTTAATTCTAATAGTATGTTGTAAAAGTCCTGTCAAATTTCTAATTAAAGTTCTAAGTGACATTTGGTCATATTGTCTACGATAAATTTCTTTAGTATTAGCATTCATATCTTGTTCAGAAAAACTATTTACTCTTTCGATCAATTGGCTTCTTAAAACCTGTAGTCTTTTTGCGAATTCTAGAATAGGTTCATGTTTTAATGGTTTAGCCATTAACAGATCCTGCTCTAGGCATTCTAAAGATCTCTTGTCTCCAAAACTTTGTTCTAGAGCGTTCTTTAATAAATTCCAATTATTTAATTCTGTTCTCCTACTAACTAATTGACGTGCACTACCTACTAACTTTGAACGAATCACTCTAAAAATATAATTATGTAAAACTACATCGCGAATATTATCATATGAATCTACTAAAAATTGACAATCTCCAATAAACTGCATTAGTGCAGATGGATTACCATCGTAAGTCTGAATTAGATCTACGGTTAACTTAAACATTTGCATATTAATTTCATTATTTTGATTTTGAGCCATTTCGTTATTTATTAAATTGTTTTCTTCGCAAGTTCCGTTAATTCGTACTAGATTATTAAAATTAGCAATCAATTCTTCTATTTCAAAATTCATTCACTTAACCTATAGTAGAATAAATCTTCTAACCAGGAAAATTTACCTATCTTAACTAAACTAAGGATAATGCAATAGGAAAACTCGGTACTTACCAGTAGTTATCCCTGCGGTGATTCTGCTACCAACTTCTGAAGAGGGCCAGCGGTTTCCGGGTAGGTTTGGTTGCCAAAGAGTTAAAACTCACGTTCAATTGGAATCGGTCTCGATGCCGTGGCTTCACAAAATCGAACTGCGAACTATCCTACTGACTGCGTCAGTTAAGTTATTTTAGTATTAAAACTTATTTTTAAAAACAAAACTTTATTTTTATTATACAACGGAATAGTGGTTTACTCGACAGAGGTTAAAGCAAGAATAAATCTAATGTTAACAAGAATTATCTACATGAAATATGATATCTGTACAACGTCACTATTATTTATGTGATATGGCAAAATGTCTTTATATAACTAGCGTAAAACGAAACGCAAACAGTGTGAAGTTCGTTCAGATGCAGAGTTAAGCCGGCTGACGGCATTTTGTTTAGTGTCAGTGCCATAGAAAAATAAAAAGAGAAGGTTTGAATAAATGTCGGGACTTGTTTCCTTGTTGGTAGTTGAACCGTAAGCGCTTAGCGCGCTGCTATCACTTAATTCAAATCCGTTTTACACCCATAAAAAAATATGTTTTCAAAAATAATGACAAAGAAATCAATAATTTTACTAATTTACCCCTTTAAATTTCACTTTAATATAATTTGTGATCAAATACAGGGACAATCGTTAATAAATTTAAAGTTAAAGCTAAATTTAAATATTATGAGATGATGTAAATCTGGCTCTGAAAATAAATTAGGTTATGGTGCGATAAATATGTCTATGTCAGCCTGATAAATTATTTTCATTTTCAAATGCAGGTGATATTTGCTTTCAAATGTAGGTGAGTAAATTGTATTAACTTAGTGTAAGTTAGATTTAACTAATTTAACTATAGGGAGGTTCTTAAGAATGTCATTAACTTCTGATACATTTAAATTTTAATTGCAGAAGTAAATATTTTTCTCACAAAACTAACCAGACATTTTATATTTTCCCTGCTATTATTACTCTTAGAGATAAATGGATCCACATTTTAAACATTTGTGGTGAAAAAAATGAAAGTAATTGTACGCGAAATGTGTGAAGCCAATTTACAAACAGATATTGTAGAACCCGAGATAGAACCTCACCATAGTTTTACTCAAAAAGACCATGATGAAAAAAGGCGAATGATTTGTGCTCAAAAAGTTATTGTTCAATTTTTGGGTGATATTCATTATTATATTTATCAAATAATACCCAAATATGTTCAAAAACTAATATGATATTTAGGTCAACCTACTAATTTTTACATAGTTCACCTATTAAGATCATAAATCAGATATTTTCTATTTTTATTGAAATTTTTATACCTTTTATTGCAAGAAAAATGTAATAATTTAAAAAAGTTGTGACTCCTCTTAATTTTTAATTTTAAGATACACACACTACCTTTATTTTTGTTTTGTTTTAGATATTCCTGAATATGGAGATTTTTGGAATGTGCATAAATGTCTTTCTTAATTAGGATGAGTTTCAAAGCCCACCTGTATCGAAGCTGATGGCTTATTGTATCCGAAATAGGCATTACAACTAGTCTAGATTGAAATAGATGGAAAAAGGCCATAAAGGGGCAATAAGTATAAGAATATTAGAATTAGAATGATTTGTCCTTGGATTAATAAGGGATATTTAAAACATTAAAACAATTGTGTTTATAAATTAACTACTTTGACTTTTTATAAAAACTATATCCGGTTTTTTTGATAACAAAAACATTGTCATGTGCTATGCTGGTTATCATATTATATTTTTATTTTTCAGTAATTTAGTGTGATATAGTGCTTGTTATGTTCAGAATATGCAGTTAGAAGATAATGAGACACATGTAATTACATGGTAATTCTAAATAAATTAAACTTGTTAAAAATGTGTTTTATTTTTCAACTAATTTTATTTTTCATTTAAAACAAGTGACATTTTCCATTTTTCAACATTTACCTACAACAAAAATTCACTAAACTTATTGTTTGTTTAGTAGTTGTAAGTAAAAGTTGTCAAATAGGAAAATGTTACTTCAAATTGCTTCAAATATCTAAATTATCAAGCCCGCCAATTTTTAAATCGCTTTACTTAGTAGTGTTCTACTTTATCGACTGAAACTGACAGGTATAGTTCAACCGTAAGCGCTTATCGCGCTACTGTCGAGGTCAAGCAAACTTGTTACCAACTATTTACACAGATTATTACACAGGGGACTGTTCTCCAGCACAGGGGACTGTTTTATTATTTTTTTTTTTTTTTTTTCAACAATGACCATTACTATTTGTTTTATATATGTAAATAATAAAATAAAAACAAAAGAAGAAATATTGGAACAGAAAAGAATTGCTGAACGATTGAGGTATGAAAGACTTAAAAAAGATCCTAAAAAGAAAGAGGAATTAAGAGAAAAAGAACGTCGCAAATACCAAATGAAGAAAGAAAAGGGCACAAGAAAATTAGTCAAAGATATGAATCGTCGTGAACACAATGCTGTAAAAAAAATTGGAAAGAGTATTGTACAACTTATAGTGCAAAGAAAAAAGCCTTGCAAGAAGTTACGAATACTTTTATTCGGGCGCCTGCAAGATCTTCAATAAATTCAATATTCAACATGAGAAAGAGTCGAGCCGAAAAGAAGCGCGAAAGAATTTTAAGAGAAAAGGATCGTAAGATTAATCATTACAAAAAGAAATTGGAAAAGTATAGAAAGAGGTTACAGCGGTTGGAAAAAGCTAATATGAAAAATATCGTTGACACACCGAAAACAAAACTACAAAAAATGTGTGATGTTCCAGAGACTCGCAAAGAAGTCGTTAAAAAGGCGATTTTTGGTGAGATATTGAACGAACAGCTAAAAGAAAACTATGCCCAATTAAAAACATTTAAAGAAAAACAAATATTCGGAAAAGTTGTGTCAGGCACAATAGTAAATAAATACAAGCTGTGGAGAAACGAAGAAAGTGCTATTTCTTATAAAAGAATCCAGAAGTCTGCACCTCAGTCAACTTTGGTACCCACTGCACAGACTCGCCTTGGTTGCATCACATCTTAGTCTATCAAGACAGTGCGAAAATTTTACGAATCTGATGACAACAGTAGAATTGGTGCAGGAAAACGGGAATGTATAACCAGAAACGGAGTGAAAAAACAAAAAAGGTACCTGTTGAATTCAATCTTCAACTTATACAAGAAGTTTAAAGATGAACACTTTGCAATCAGTTACCAGACTTTTTGTCGTTTGCGTCCTTTCTGGGTGGTTACACCAAAAGTAAATGAACACGATACATGCCTCTGCACAAAGTACGCTAATATTGATTTGAAGTTATCCGCATTACACAGTCGAAAAATTTTGCCATACAGTAATCACACTAAGTTGCTAGAAAACACATGTTGCAATCGCTATGACGAAGAGTGTTTGTCATGCAAATGCCAACGCTGTGTCAACAAGAATCCTGATTATAGAGAATTTGATGATAGCAAGCCTTTATAATTCAGAAAATGGGTAGCAGAGAAACAGGAATATAAAGACCCCAAGTCTAAAAAAGCACGGACTGTAACAAAATATTTGAAGAGAACTTTCACGGTTCATTCGCGTGAACTAATAGAAAACCTGCATGAAGATTTAGAAGGGTATTTTATTCATGAAAGAAATATATTTCATCAAAACAAAACTGTCAAGGACTTAAAACAGAATCTCAATGACAAAGAAGCTATTATACACATGGATTTTTCGGAAAACTATTGTGCCAAATATAATCATGAAATACAAGCCTATCACTTTGGAGGATCTAGACTTCAGCTGAGTCTTCACACTGTTGTAGTTTATCTGAAAGTCTTTACGAAATCCTACTGTACTGTATCGCAAAACACCACTCACTCACCAGCTGCTATATGGGTTCATTTGCAGCCAATTTTCAAATCTTTGCCGCTTCAAATGTATTTATTTCATCAGTGATGGACCTGTAACACAATACCGGAATAAAACAATGTTTAGTATCCTGGCATCAAGGCTTCATCTAGAAGTTCCAAGTGTAGAAAAGTTTACCTGGAACTTTTCCGAGACTGGTCACAGCAAAGGCGCCCCTGATGGGGTTGGAGCTACCTGCAAACGAACTGCCGATGCCGTCATTGCTGCAGGAGACGACATTGATAGTTTAAAATCTTTTGTAGAAATTATACAACAAAGATGTCCTGGAATTATTATATTTACCATCGACGACGAAGACATTCAGAAAATGACCAGTGATGTTCAAAAATATGTAGCTAAGAAAAGTTTCAGTGGTACCCTCAAAATACATCAAATAAAGGAAAACATAAAAAGATGTCCTTTGGGATTACCACACGGCGCTACCAAGCTTATAATGAAAACTTGGAGCTGTTTTTGCGACGACGAATTCCAGCATTTCAATTTTAATCGAATTAAATTACCGGTTTTGAGCTTACATTAAATTGTAATTAGATGAAGCAAAATGGATTCTATGTATTTTGAGGTGATCTTTTCGAAAAAAGGTAAAACAAAATGTAGCAGTTTTTCGAAAGTGCCGAAATTTTGGATTTTGTCAATTTTTCAATTTTGCGCATGCGCATGTCGCAAATAAATCAATATTTTTAAAACCCAGTTTACGACATTTGAAAGCTTAGAAAAAATGCTAATTTTTATGTATCCTGAGAAATTTTGATCCGATGCACCGTTCTCGCAGTATGGACGATTGAAATTTGTTTAGTATTTTGAGGCGGCGAAGGTCGAAAAATTGAATTTGTTAAATGTTCAAACACTAAATTCTTCATAACTTTGATAAAAATTAAGATATTTGAAAAAACAAAAATTTGTTTTGAACTTAAGGGATGTGATTATTGATTTCCAGAAGGGAGCAAGAGAAATCCCAAAATTGGGCATATGGCCAAAGAGCAAAGTGTACCGCAAGCCTAATTTCATTGTTTGCCTATAACGGCCAAACTATTTAAATTTTTTTAATGCCACTCACAAAGCTTACTCTTAAATATAAAATCTTATATGTGTGTGAATTTTACCGAAATCGGATTATAATTGGCCAAGATATCAAACAATTAACAATTTTTTTTCCCTAAAAAATAACTAAATTTTTTTTATAAAGTTTGAAGTGGCACAAAAATGCCAAAAATGCACCCAAAGACTTAAAACTTTTTTTTTTGAATACTCTATTATGTCTAGAATACGATTGCATTACGGAAAATTCTGCAAAAATATGTTATCTATTTTTTTGACCACTGTTCATTGAGTGACGACCAAAAAACATGGTTTTTGAGAAAAGTTGCCTAAAAAATTGACGATTTTCAGTTTTTTGGTCTGAAAATTGAGCACACCCAAATCTCATGTCTTCTGAATGTGTATACAAAGTTTAAAGTGTGTATGTTTCTTCTAAGTTGTAGAATTCTCCCGACAAAAGTCCCATTACACGCGCTCCGCGGGATCCAAAACTCGTGCATTTCTGTAATTTGATTTTTTTGTAATTTCCAGTTTTAAATTTCTTACATACTATACCTAAATTTATTAGGCCTAAAATTTATTAAATTGTATTTTACTGACTTGTTATAAGACGTTTCTTGAGTTTTGTGCAAAAATATAATTACCGCAAAATTAGCCGGACGTCGTATCAAGGATAGCCATGGTCTCGGCGTTCGCTATCCGACAAGTTTAAACTTGAAACGGTCATATTAATACAAATTGAATCGCTTGATAGTGTTCATCGGCATAGATTTTTAATAACCGTGTTCAGCAAGCTCTGTGTTCACGTGGTTTTTCGGACTTCTTCAGCAATTTATTGAGTAAGTACGTTCTTAAATTAAGAAAATTCTATCACAGTGCTATAATTTTTTTGTTTCCAGGTTGCAATGGCTGGCCTGTGTTTATTATGTCATCAGAAACTTGCAGAGGGCGAACTTACCCCAATTAGACCGACAGGATTGAAAGGTCTGCAGATGGTCAGCAGAGAGAGGGGATGATTTTTTCAGTTCTTTAGAACCAGGTTTTGTATTGCATGAGAGATGTCGCAAACATTACGTAGCTCGACGTTACGGAAAAGAGTTTATTTATAAAACCTGGGATAGGCATAAAAGGGCCGCGATTGACAATGCCAAAAAAAAAGGAGAAGAAAAACCGAGAAGAAAACCAAATGTTAGAGAACAAAAAACATGCTTACCACCAAGTTGGAACTTACACTCAAGCTTAGGATTAATTTCCTAACATTTTTAAAGTATACCTTTTTGTATATTTTTTTGTGCTCTTTTCGATAGCGCAATTAGTTTCTTCAAATATATTTTTTGTTAGATGGTTTCGGAAAACCCGAAGAAAATCATATGGGAAAAAAATTTACGCCTTCCGGTTTCCTGCGAATTCCCGAAAAATTATGGCAGATTTCGCCGCGGGACTTATTTTATTTGAGAGCCCACAAAAAAATACGCAACTTCTCTCATGGGCACATATGTTTAACATTTATAATTTCGCCACAAATTCATCGCAAATTTCATGTTCATGATTCTGATCAAAGAAACGAAAAAACAACTTTTTGGTAAAAGCACTTCTGGCGGCGAGAAATTCGCTATTAAAACTACCTGTGCAATGAAATTCCGAAATATTTTTGCCTCCTCTTTCGATTGGGGCATTTATTTTTACTATCAGAATAATACTTGTTCAGATAATTAAAATTCCGGAAAACCCGGTTTTTCCTAATTTAAAAAAAATTGAAAAACAGCTACATCATTTTTTTCTTTTTTTCGGAAGGATCACATCAAAATACACAAGGTCCACTTTGTTTCATCCAATTACAAATTAATGTAAGCTCGAAGGGGCTTTTTTTCGTTATTTAATTGGACTATTTAGGATTAATGGAATTCAAAGAAAAGCCAAAACTTAACGTACAGGATATTTACACGAACTCAGACTCTAAACACCAATATAAACCAGAATTTGGCCAACAAGATAATACTATTAGTGAGACTATTTTAGAGACAGACATGTCACAGATTATTGATATATTTTTTTATTTTTCGTTATAAGCTATAAAGCCATTAATAATAATTTTAAATGTTATGTTGTTACTAATAAAAGTTGTTTAGAGTACAAACGATATATTAAGATGTTGATTGTAGGACCAAATAGTATGTTTAATCTTGTTGTGTACTGATTTAGAAAAGACTGTTATTTTATAGTTATTAGTTCAGTCTATATTGCTTTGTTTAATACAGAAGTTGATTTGAATAAGTGTATGTATGTTATAATAAAAAATATAACTTTAACTTGTTGCATTGATTAAAAATATGTTTTTTCTTCTTTCATAACACTTCCCTGAATGAGGTAACAGTCCCCTGTCGTAAAATTTTACAAAATCGTCTATAACTTGCAAAATAAGAGAAAAATGTGTGAGCTTTTTGAAAATACATATTTAGTTTATAACTATATTTCGGAAAATTTTCACGGTTTCTTATTTTTCGGAAAAAACATGCTTGGGACACTGTTGTATGGGCTAATTTCCAATTAATAGAGAAATACCCAATAACGTTTCAATTAAGAAGAAATTATTAAAAATTATTAATATAGTAAATTGCTTCATAAAAACTGAATTTAAACTTTGATAATTGTACAATTGAACACAAATATTGCTTTAGTTTTAATATACAGTATGGTTCAAATGAAAGGAATAAATTCATTATAATGGAAGTAGTTGGTTTTTCGAAAAAATGCTCAGACAGGTCAATTTTGTTTACTTAAAGCGCAATTTTTTAAATAAAATTCAATTTTCCCCCACTTCCCATTTTTGGGCAGTGACGTCATTGACAATTTTTTTAAATAGCAACCCCAATTTTTTTTTTCTTGATTTTGATAGATCTTGTATTTTCCTACTCGGAAACATAATATTTGAATAATCTGACAACAATTTTTTTTGAAAAAAAGTAATTTAAAGATCAGATACATAAATTTTCTTTCATTTTGAAACACAATAAATAAATAAAAAATAATTATTTTTAATTAAGTGCCTAATCTAAAATAATAATAATAATAATAATAATAATAATAATAATAATAATAATAATAATAATAATAATAATAATAATAATAATAATAATAATAATAATAATAATAAAAAGAATTTAATGACAATTTCACAAATTCTTTTTATTATTATTATTATTTTTATTATTATTTTGTTAGATTAAGCATTTAATTACAAATAATTATCTTTTATTCATTTATTGTGTTCTCAAAATAAAATAAAATTTATGTGTCTGATCTTTAAATGTCTTCTATTCAAAAAACATTTATATGTAAGATATTTCAAATATTATGTTTCCGAGTAGGAAATTGCAAGATCTATCAAAATCAAGAAAAAAAAATTGAGGTTATTATTTAAAAAAATTGTCAATGACGTCACTGCCCAAAAATGAGAAGTGGGGGAAAATTGAAGTCTATTTAAAAAATTGCGCTTTGAGTAAACAAAATTGACCTGTCCGAGCATTTTTTCGAAAAACCAGCTACTTCCATTATAATGAATGTATTCCTTTCATTTGAACCATACTGTATAACATTTTATGGTAAATTATACGATCTTAATTTAAATTGTCGGTTATCCGGAATTTTAATAATTTTTTTAAGAAGCGGCAACAAGGTAAAAACATATCCACTCTTGTCTGGAAGGTTATAAATTAGCCAATCAGATTTTAGGCCTTATTATGACGATGTTTAAATCATTGTGGCGCGCGTTTCAAATTTGCGAGAATTTATTGGCATTTTAAAAAATTCTTGTAGGAAAATTTGAAAAGAAAAAATTTCAAAAAATATTTTTAGATTAGATTTTGTGCTAGCTTTTAGAAAAAAATAGTTTTGAATTTCACTAAACACGCCCAATATGAACCATTTTTATTTTGATCGTGTCAATACTTACCTATAAGCGGTCCATTGGGTCCAAAGGGTGCAGATTTATCTCCTTGCGTAACTAAGAATAAACAATCTGGATTTCTTAAATACCAAAAGGCTTTTTGTAATTTTAGATAGTTGATATTGAAATCATTGTCCATTACGACGGCGCCAATGTTTGCATTTCGATCGTTATGAGATAATACAGCATCCACATTTTCATCAACAGTTGTGGGCTAAAAAATACGTTGGATTAAAAAAAATATATACACCGTGTCCCACGTAAGGCGGGCATTACAACTTTATGGAGAATAAATTTATTTGTATTTTCGCCATTTTCTGAGTATACATAATCGAATATGCTCTTTTGAATTAAAATAAAATGAACTCT